ACAGACAGACAGACAGACAGACAGACAGACAGACAGACAGACAGACAGACAGACAAACAGACAGAGAGACATTTTGAGCATTTAAAAAAAGAAGTACATCATTTTGAAAAACTGACAAACTATAATTTTTGCTGTACATTGAAATGATGTAGCTATCATTCAAAAGGCATTCATGCTTGGTGGCGAGTTAGTGAAAGCAGGAACAGCGATCATAATAATATAAGATACAGGGGGAAAAAACAAACTAAAATCAACAAGGATGTCTCAATGTACTTCATCTGCTGGTTTTTATAAAGCACAAAAAAGTGTTTTGTTTGTGTATATTTCACAGATTAGGAGACAAATGTACAATTTCAAATGACATGCACTTTACTTCTACAGCAGCATAGAAAATGACACTGAAAATGAAAACAGCCTCTACAATTATTCAAATAGCTTTTTAGAAAAAAATTTAATAATTCAAAACACTATCCCTCACAAAAGTAAAAATAATAAAGCAAGGCACTGTTCTGCACCTAGTGCTACAATAAATCAATAAACTTCCTTTACAAGACTGCAGTGTGAACCCATTTCCCTTAAGCAAGCCAAGGGAGGAAACTCAGATTTCAAATTTCTGACCCTGAATTTCCCGGCAATTGTGTGACCACCTTGATGACCAAAAAAAAAAAGAAAAGTGAAAAAATTCTGTCGAACAACTTAAACTCACAGAGGAATACTAGATCTACAAATTTTGCAGAAACAAAACGCTCATTCGTGAGTCATCTTTTTTTACATTTTTCCCCTGACATAATATCTGGAATCAGTATGAAAAGTTCATGAAAACATCAGCCTAGTAGGCCTAGTGAGGTAGGACGGAACATGAGTGTATTGAACTCCTAGTATCAGCTTTTTTAAGTACAATCCGATGCCTCAAGAAGAGAAAAATGAGAGGAAAGGACATTATAGAGGAGACAGCACCGGACTTGTGGGGAAATTAATTATTATTATAAAAGGTGAAACAAAAATTAAAATACTGGTACAATACAACCTGACACTGCGACCACTTGCTTCAGCAAAACGTATTGTAGCGAAGAACCCCCTTGGTGGGTATATGGAAAGCCATTCCACCTTTGTGTGTATATGGAAAGCCATTCCACCTTTGTGTGTCTATGGAAAGCCATTCCACCTTTGTGTGTATATATGGAAAGCCATTCCACCTTTGTGTGTATATGGAAAACCATTCCACCTTTGTGTGTATATGGAAAGCCATTCCACCTTTGCGTGAAGCCAATTTTGTCATCTAATTTTTCAGCAGCACAAATTTCCCTTTAAAACTGCTCCTTAAAATAATGTATTTGCATGAAATTATCACCGGATGGAGAAGAACTGAACGTAATAAACATGCAGTTCGGTTATAGATACGATGCATTTACTGAGGTTTTGTAGATTTTTGTTATGACAGAAAACAACTGCTGCCATGCACTTGCTGAACTGGTGTGCCACATTATATTACTTTTCTACACACTTTCGGTACTTCGGTAATCAGGTCATAACCATTTCCAAAGAAGGCCTTTCTTTGATCAACTAGATTGCCAAACACAGGCTTTACTGTAACGTTCCAACTTTTCCGCACGACATTCCTAAGACTATGGCATTCTGATTTCTCTACAACACACACTACTTAGTAAAGGCTGGGGAAAGCATGAGAGGTCCAAATATATCTCTGTCCGACCCAAAGATGAAACTTTTCAGAAAAGGCAAATACGTAAGCATACAAATCATTTTAACTATGAATGACAGTCACGTTTTTCCATTCTAAAAAAAATGTCACAATCAAAATCAATGTTTAAAGATTACGACTATAACTTCTGAAAATGATATGCTTCTTCTTTTCTCATTTACACTATAGAATAAATCACTGATCTTAGTAAAATTGTCATAGAACAATATTCACAAATGAAAAAAATTGGCATGATTGATACATGTACACATGAAGCAATTCTCCTCACCGTATATAAAAAAAGCACTGTCAACGACAAACTGGAAAGTGCTGCAGACATTTATTTATTGCACAGGGTAGTTGAGCACAATAAATCTTTTCATGAATTTCGCCTTGGCAGGGATCGAGTCAGAATCAATAGAGACCGTTTTTAAAAAAAAGGTAGGATGGGGTGGGGGTGGGGCCTGGTCACCTGGAAACCAGACTTTTGAGCAATTGAGGTGGAATCGGTTTTGCTGTACAAACTACAACACTCTTGTAAGTATCTGTGCTTCCAAAGCTGAACAGAGGAAGATCCACGGAAGCCTTTTTGAATGTGTTTATATTCCTAAAACTAAATATTCACTAGTGTTTTCACTGTTCAGCAATTTTTTATCCATTTTGCAAACACAGTTGCGAGGCATAATTTTTTTCCCAACTCTTTATATCAGCTGAGCAAATGAATACTCAATGATGACAGGTTGAGGAAAAAAACTTTTCACCTCTTTAAAAATAACTGGAAAAGTTTGGAATGGTTTTTAATTTTCCAAAACTGTTGGGCAATTGCAAACCACTGGTAAACTGACACAGACTGCTTTTCAGTTAAAAATTAAAGACTGTATCATTTCTGTGGCAACCAGAAGATTGGTCATGATGAAACATTAATGGAACATCCTTCTTCAGCAGGCCAAGTATCCATACCAATTAGGCTAAGAAAATTATCTTCAGGTGCTGCAACCCCCCCCCCTCCCCCCACCTCATTCCAACGTACATATATGCGAGACAGCATCACATAATGTCAAAGATTTCCAATTTTCCACCATTTGACTGGGTAAAACAGCAGGCCCTACCATTACAAAATTTTCAACCATTACAATAAAATCATGAAAAAAATATTTGTCCACCTGTGTACAGGTAACAGTAGTGTATTCAACAAGAAAATTGAGAAAATTATCAAGAAAGCAGTGGCTAAATTCTGCAGAAAGGCTGTGGCTTAAAAATCTCAAATCAAATCACCTACACAAATCACATTCAGGAACAAAATGAATCCAAGGCTTTACATTTTATATATCTACGCAATTCTAAAAAGATAATAAAAGTACATACCTAAACAATAAATGCACAAAAAATATGAGTCACTGTTAGTGGTCCAAAGTCTTGTCTTTTTTAGCAAACGAGAGATCACCCATTCATTCAGCCATTGATCTAGGACCATGTTATCAAAGGCAAGGGTCTTTACAAGTTTTGTCTCACTAAGTTCAACATAGCTCTTACCCTGAAAAAAAAAAGCAAGAGTGTATGTATCACGACGCGGTGGAATCAGGCGCTCGTCAGTTTTGGGGCATATAGAGTTATTGATATAGTCTTAAAGCTTGTTTATTTGTCTTGTTTTCGAATTACCGAGCTAGCTTCAATAGAAGTCGAGATATTTCAGATTGAAGGAAGTGGGGGTCACCCAGTTTCAGGGATAAAATTAGCAAGAAATGGCCGTCAAAGTTTGGTGACTTTCAAAGTTTGAGAGTCCTTGGAAACTGTAAATTAACATTTTTTGTGCTTTAATCATTGTTTTTCTGTAAAATCTACGCACAGTGTATTTTTATATAGACATAAAAGGTGCTGAGCCAAAAAATAAAAATTCAATAAAAATTGCCAAACTGGAAGAGAAATGCCATTTTCTTCGATATCATTATTTTGATGAGTGCCTGATTTCACAACGATGCCTCACATATGGCCTCTTCAAGCAGTTGTACATGTCTAACAAGAGACCAGCGTATAAACACAAAGGACTTTTAAAAAACGGTACTTTTTAAACCATCCAGTCAGTAAAATCCTCCAAACATTGAAGAACAGTTGCACAGTGTCTTCATGTGATGAGTAGCACCCATGCTAGGGGCCCTCTCCACATTTCAGTCTCTGTACAGAAATGGTCAGTATTTTCACTCACTTCAGATTTCAGGTTCCGAAATAAATTCATCCCTTTCACGTTTCAGTCATAATAGGAAAACACTCTGTTATCATTCATTTCAAATTTCAGTCTCTACTGGCTCTGAGTGCTTGGGTCTGGCACCTCTACCACCCAGATACAGCATGTCCGTTGACCCCCGGTGTCTACTGGGCATAAGTTCCTCCCCTGGGGAGTAGGGTGGGGGCTCTTCACTCACGCTACTACTGTGGAAACTGGGGGGTCCCAAGTCCAGCCTGTCTCTACTGGCAGACGGCCGCACGGGCCGGCCTATGTCTTGGCTGTACGGAGGGGGCTGGGGTAAAGAGACGAGGTCTTCACGGCTGCCCCTGGTTCGTGGCCGGTTTGAGAAAGTGGACGTTTCTGGAGTGTATGAAGCTCCTGGCTTAGGGGGTAGTGGGTCGTTGAATCTGTCATTTACTGATGGCTGGTACTTTCTTGGCATGTAATCCACATCTGACTGGATGGAGGGTGCATAGCTGTCAAGATCTGACTCAAGTGGCTGCCGAAAATGGGAAGGTTTTGGCAGAGGTGCTGGGGTTGGTGGGCCAAGTCGTTCTCTGCTGCGACCTATCGTTGGATTACTTAAGGGCCGTGGCATATAGTCAGAATCCGGAATCTGATCTTTCCCATACGGATTCGGGTCTGTAGGGCTGTAGTCAACAGGCTCGTACCTGTTGGTGGACCGGCTTCGATCAGAACCCTCATACACTGGGTCGTATAGCAATCCTTGGCTGCTCCTCAGAGACCCTGAGCCACCATAGACTGGGTCGTATAATGGACCCTTCCTTGAATCTCCAGTGGGTCCTTGCATGTTGTAGTAGAGAGGACCTGACCTCTCTGAGGCTCGATCGCTGGGGTCATACGCTGGTTGTCGCGGGCCAGGTTCATTGTTGTACAAGATTTCCTGGCTTCCTAAACTCCTCTGTCTTGGAGCAGGGGCAGGGCTGTGTCCTGGAGCGTAGCCATCTCTACCGCTAGTCACCGATGACACACCAGAGACATCATCCCTCAGGGCACCATCATGTGGCCGTATATGTTTGGGTCGCGGGGCAGGTCTTGGCTGGTACCTTCTGTTTTGGTCTGAGGAAGGGCCTACAAAGTGTGGATCGGGAGGAGGGGTGGGAAGATTATCCCTGGAGGAGGATCGAGGTGGTGGAAAGTTCGGTTTGACTGGATTATTCATGGAATCATCTGGCTGAGCAAAACTGGACAGAGACTTGCTTTTGTGGGGAAGTGGGCCTGCCTTAGCCTCACTGCCAGACAAGTTGTCCCGGGACCGAGACTTGCCCCTAGCACCAAAGCCAGGGTGTGCAGCAGCTGCTCCCAAAGGTGGCCTCTCCGACAAATGCTCCTGCGACCTGTTGACCCGATAGTGCAAATATTTGGCATCAACCTCATCTGCATCCTGTCCACGGTTTTCGCCTTTGACATCCTGCTCCCCCTCCTCCTCATCATCATCAAAGCTAATGTCATCATAGTACTCATCATCGCTCTCTTTTCTAATAGAGTCATCATCAGAATTTTCTTTGTACTCTCCTCTCTTTTCATCATCATCCTCATCCCTCTGACTGTAATTATACGGTCGTCTTCCAGCATCTCTCAATCTTCTCTCTCTTTCCATCCTCTCTCTTTCCCGATCCTGTCTTTCTCTCTCCCTGTTCGTCTCCCTCTCTCTATCCTCCACCCTGGCTACCGGTCTGTTACGACCACCCGACCTGTCGGGCCTGAGGCTGTGTACCTGCCTGCTATAATCGGGTCTGGCAGGGGCAGGCTCTGGCTCTCCATCCACTTCTGAGTCGGATCGGAGACTGTGAACACTCCCACTAATACCGTTACTGACGGCCGAACTCGAGTTCTTGGTCAGAGAGGAATCTAATGACCTTGCATCCAGCTCGTTCAGTCTCCGCCTGGAGTGACCCTCGGACAACATTATAAGGGACGACTTTGTACCTCGCAGGGAACCGTTGATCTTGGTCAAGTTGTTCAGGGATGACCGGATCGAGGCAGTCCGTTCAAAGCGCTCTTTCTCACGTCGCTTAGACTTCATGGACCACAGAATGGCGATGACAACAATAATGATGATGATGACGCCTCCAACACCAGCACAGATACCAATAATCATGGCTTGGATTGACGATGCAAGTTCTTCCGGTATTTCCACGTATGGGTCTGGGCAAACAAAACAGAAATGTTCTCAAGTTCATATTGACAAAGAAACAGAGGCAACACAATTGTGTGCAGATCAAAAAGGATTTTAAATATTGTGAGGAAATGGACATCTATGCAGGAATTTTGTAGTCAGTGAAAGAAAGAAGCTAAAAGTCTTACTCACAAAAAAAAAGAGAGAGAGAGAGAGAGAGAGAGAGAGAGAGAGAGAGAGAGAGACAGACAGACAGACAGACAGACAGACAGACAGACAGACA